TCAATATGGGTCCGAAGATTGGTCCACGACCCAAATGTTTTGTCACAATGGCGACACTGAGGGAGGCCAGCAAGAGCGTCTCGTTGTAGCCTGAATGGAACTAGTCTGGCATGACTTCTACCATGGGCCGTTTGTTCATGACGAGCCAGGGTAGCAGCACTCGGGAAGTCACCAAGGCAGGTACGACACTGGAAGCGCAAGGTCAATGGTGGTGAGTACGCCTGAGATGAGATCCACTGGTCCAGCTGAAGCAGCAAGTTTGCAGGTTCGTGAAACTGAATCTGATGTAAAATATCTGTGGAGTCAAGCGTGTGGAGACGTGCTTCCCTGCCTTCCAAAGTGCGGACACAAACCCGTCGGAGAAAAACAGCAGGTGGAGTAATCTGATGTATGGCATGAAAGTCAGCATGTGTACGATGTGTTTCATGTGAGTGATCATGCATGAACATCCTCTGCTGCAACGTAAGTTGAGAAATGAGCTGTCTGAGCCCTGCTGCACTGCATCCAACCACATGTAGATTGTACAAAGTGGTTGTCCGAACCACTGAACTCCACAATGATTCTTTCTGCCTGGAGGTGAGTCCCTTTTTTGAACAGAACCATGTTCGAAGTCGACGGAACGCACGGAGCCCACACTGTAGTCGATGTTGGAGTGAACTGCTCTGCATTGTTTTGTAAGACAGCTTGATCCCCAAATACGGAACAACAGTGTGGAGAGCAACCAGAGCAGGCCCCATACCAGTGCGTGGAAAACAAAGATGCCAGCCTTGACTGGTTCGTTTGAGATGCCTGGCTTGTGCTTTCCTCTGCGCAATCCCCTGTAGTGTGACCATGGAAAAACATTTCTGAATGTTGATCTGAAGGTGGAAATCTTTCAGGATGTCCAGAAGTATCCCACAATTAGTAGTAAATTCGTTCAGATCATCCAAGGAAAAGAGGGTCTGATGCACCAAGAAGTCATCTGCATAGATGGTGATGTTCCGGGTGACCCAATTCCATGATGTGCACTCAGCCAGTTTGTTCAGAATGAGCGTCGTGAGACAGCACCAGAGGAAAGGAGCAGCCTTGCAGCCCTGACGGACCCCTCTGTACACTGGGACGGATGCGGAGAAGCCTTTGTGACTAATGTCGTAGTGAGTCCCTCTATGCCATTCATATAACAGGTGTAAGCAATCAGGTCGTACCCCAAGAGCAGCCATACCCTGAAACAGGTGGCTTCTGGAAACACTGTCAAAAGCTTTACTCAAGTCCAAGCTGAGAAGAGCACCACCTACAAGAGAGTGCCTGACCATTCCAGTTGCTTGCTTCTCCACAGGTCGTTGTGCATGCCGCGCTAGTTGTGCCACCAGCAAGCAATGCTGCGTGGCTCTTGCAATAGCATCAGCTGTACCCCGAAACGGAAGGTATGCCAGTTGAGGCGTCGAACTGATTAGGGGAAGCACCGAGTGTCTTGCTTTCTCGCTGACAAGTCCAAGCACCACCTTACCAAACACGTCCTGGAGTGCTAAGGGCCTAAGATTCTTAGCATCATTAGGGGGTTTACCAGGTTTGGGAAGTAAGAACAGGTGACCATTTTTCCACTCAACCGGGACAAACGGGGTAGGTTGATTCCACCATTGCATGAGAAGGGGGAACAGCTTCTTAGCACACAGAGCTGGGCAGCTCAAGATGCTGAGCGATGCACACGTCCCGGGCGCATTGGCTTTCAACGATGCAAGCCTAGCAAAAGCCCTCTCAAGGTCTTCAGCACTGAATGGCACACCTGGGGCCCCCAGTGCCGGAAGCAGTGGGAGTGGAGCGTCATGCCAAGTTGCTTGAACAAAGCATTTGATGTGCGTGAACTCTTCGAGTGGACTGAGAATCTGACCAGTTGCAGAACGAATCTGAATGCGGGCAGTCTTTTCTTTGGGGCTGACCTTCCGAACCAGTTGATGCAGTTTACTTAGATCCTGTCGATCTGCAGCCGCCCGTGCCTCGGACAGGAACTGATCGATACGATTCTGTCGAGCCTGAGTCGAGGCGGTCTTTTGTTCACGATGGAGGCACCGATGTTGGGTGATCCATTTCCAGTACTCGAACACCGAACCGAGACTAAGGCAACGAGGTGTGCGAATCAATCGATATAGCGCCCACTTCCGAGTCGCCAGACAAGTCACCTGCCCAAGATGGCAGAGTCTATCGGCCGTGGTCGAAAAAGAATGAACAAAAATGTCATTAAGGTCTTGGTGAAAGGATCGAAATCGGCCATTTTCGGGCCACTGAGTCCGTGTGAGGTGGGCAGAGGTCCTAGTCTGGAAGTCCGTCCATTCTTTCGTACCCTGGGACCTAGCAAGGCGGCCTCGTGTTCGATGTGCATAACTAATGCTGCTCAGGGCAGCACTGGACCAAGGCTTCCAAGTCAATGACAGTGAGCCAATCAGGGGATGATGTCCCTGAGTGGAGGTGCCCAACAAGGGACAGCTCGGAATGGGTGCACATTGTTTAGCTTCATGGTCAAGCTGCTTGAGGCGCGTGCAGGCGAAGTCAATCCTAGATCCAAGACCCTTAGGTCCATAGAAGGTGGCTGGGAGAGCCTGGGTCATCGTGTTGAGTGCGCATAATCCATGTTGGACAAGTATCTCCAGCAGGCGTGCCTGATCCGTTTGGGCAGGTCCTTCACTGAGGACACCGGCTCGACCTCTGAACTGTGTACTTCCTACGTTGGGTGTGTGCATGGGCAAGCTGGTGTTAAAGTCACCCAACAGAATCAGGTTGTTCCTAGTCGGAAGGGAGGAAAGACAATTATCCAAGGCACGAAAGACGTCAAGTCGGTGTGCAAGGTCTGGGGGTTTATTCTGATAGGTTTTCTGGTAGAAGTTCAGAACATCAAGTGGGCGGTCAAAGTGGATGCGGAGATGCAACAGTCGGCCATCCCAGAGACTTCGCCATGAGATCTGATCCAAACAACACCAGGTCTTCCGAATAGCTAAAAGAACCCCAGTAGATTGTCGGGGAAGCCCCCCAACTGCAACAAAGTGCCAGGTATCGTCTGACCACTCCTTGCTTTCCTGCCAGCGGGTTTCTTGCAGTGCAAGGAGCTGTATGGGTTGTGGTCTGGCCCACAGGAGAATCTCGTCCAGCTTTGCTCGGCTCAAGCCACTGCAATTCCAGCTGAAGAAATGTAGGCGGTTCCTCAAGTCAATGCGTGGCTGGTGAGAGGAAGAAACCAGGGAAGGTGAGGTGGATTCACGTTTCGGTTCAATGCGAGTACCAAGAGCTTTTGCATCGAACAATTTGCCACGAAACCATGCATACCCTTCGATTTGAGCTCTACGAACAGCTCGCTTGAAGCTGCGCTTGTGATTGGAGACCAGTTTATGGTCTTGTCTATTGGGCGTGATGCCATGCAACTTTTTCGTAGCTAGAACATATGTGTGGGGTGTCCAGTCAGTTCGAGCTACTCCCGTGACACTCATGGCCGTGTCACAACCCTCACCTCTACTACGGGTCTTAGTAAATCTAGATCTAGCCGAAGGGATCCGCAGTCCACCGACTTGGGACGGTGGTTCCAGGGACCAAGTGCACAGCAAAAGGATGTGAATCAATCCCGCAACACGAATGTGCATCCAGGGCCGCTGTGATCTGATTCAGGGAGAAATCCACGAACCAGAAAGGTAGCAGCCCCGCTCAGCACAGTTCAGCGCGCACGGCCACCAGGGAGGCCGCTCATGTACGAGCTCCGCGGGAATGAGTCGTCAGAGCAATCCCAAGTGCTCTTGGCTGGAAAGAGGCTTAACAACAACAACAACAACAACAACAACAACAACAACAACAACAACAA